GGGGGTAGATCAAGGTGTTGCTGGCCAGTAAGCTCCTTCAGCCTCCGGTCGATTTCGTATAATGATAGGGAGAAGACTTCTACGTCTTGTTGTCTAGTGTAAGAGTGGAATGCTGCTGCTCTAATTATTTTTGGGGTCCCTTTAGTAGCTTTGGTTTGACCGTGGACTCGTACTCTGTCCTTTTTCATGTGGTGTTTACAGTCTTGGCCGAACTGCAAGGTGTTCTTTCTCCAGTTAACTAAAGGGTTGTGTCTTGTANAGCAGGTGGACTCGTACTCTGTCCTTTTTCATGTGGTGTTTACAGTCTTGGCCGAACTGCAAGGTGTTCTTTCTCCAGTTAACTAAAGGGTTGTGTCTTGCAAGCCAGGGCTTCCCTAGTATAACCTCCTGAGAGCCAAGTTTAGTAACGTAGAAGCGCTGTTGATGGTCGATGTGCTGGCCTATATGAAGGTCAAGGGTGATGTAGTGAGTGACATCCCCAGCCGACGAAGACGATCCGTCAGCTGTACGAAGGCGGCGGGGCTTTGTTAGAGGTTCAAGAGTAAAGTTGTTCCGTTGCGCATAGTCAGAATCGATGAAAGCTTCAGCTGAAGCGCCAGAGTCAAGCATAAGGTAGGTGGCAGAAGGTTTTGTATTATTAGTACTAACTAATTTACAAGGAACCTCCATCACACTTTCTCTCTGCCTTTCCTCTAGTGACGACAACATCAAAGCCTTCCTCCGACTTCCACGTCTCTGGCAGCGACTGTTGACAGAGACTAGGCTTTTCCCTCATCCTTACTCTTTCCCTTCTCACGCTCCTCCTTCCGGCGGCGAGCTTCCTTCAACTTGTCGCAACCCTGAAGACTATGTGTCTTTTCATCACAGTAGTGGCAGAGATTGTGCTCAATTTGGAATTTCTTGCGGGCGGCCTTCAACTCAGGGGTCTTGGCCCAGGTCTTGTCCTCAACATCCTTCCAAGTCCAGACATACTTTCCTCCAACCTTTATAGCATCCAGGTCCATTACATCAGGGTCAGAGGGTGAGGAAGTAGACGCTAGAGTGTGTGGAGTAGCATTGAAGAGGCCAGAGTTACTCTTAAAGTACTGAGTGCCGTGGACAGCTCGGTTGATTTTGTCTTTCTCTCGAATCAGGTCAGCTAAGGCGTTAAGTTCAATGGCCGAGGTGTAGCGAGGGTCTGAAAGGATACGGTCCCGAATAGAGGGGTGGATAGCAAGGACGAGTCTCTGGGTACAGTCGAATCCAGTAGAGTTAGCAGTAGTAGCTAGTGACAGGTAGGACGCTAGGAATTCAGAAGCTGGTCGGTGGCCCTGCTTCTCCTTTTGGAGCTTGGCAAAAGCCTCCTCGCGACTAAACTTGTTGCCAAATGTGTTACGGAGGATGTCTAGCATACTTTCTACAGAGTTCAAAGTAGTAAACTCGCCGGCGTCGTTGAGGTGAGGGTCGATGTGCTTACGTGCCTCTCCCTCTAGGGTTGATAGGACATAAGTCATTTGTTCTAGCTCAGTTGGGAACCAGTCAGCATTAGTGCGAAGCTTGACTTTGAGGTCGATAATATATGATCGTAGCTCGATAGCGGATCTACGGGTGCCGCCAAACTTGGCCGGGTCTGCGTGGGGGACGGATCGGATAGGTGGAGCAGGGGCATTCTGGTGAATTCGAAGTTGTTCGATTTGGTTTCGTAACTCGTTGATTTGAGGGTTACTAGTAGGAGTAGGAGTAGCTTGGAGGTGTTGAAGACGTTGGATCTCAGTGTTGAGAGTCGCAATACGGTTGTTGAACTCAGTGACTTGTCGATTGTACTCGTTGGCGTCTTGTAGAGCATCTGCTTCAGTGGCTTGTTGAGCTTGCTCAGCGATGTGCTGTGCTTGTTCTGCAGTGTTCTTGTCGATGGTGGTTTGATTATAGAGCGAGAGCAGGTCACGTAAGCCTTGCTGAAAGGTGTCGTTGTTATCAGTGATGAAAGTTCCAAGCGTACCATTATCAACGGCAGCTTGGAGTTCTTCAACTGTGAATACAGGCATGATGAGCTCGAGTGGCAAGGGCGATGGGCGATGGGCGATGGGCGATGGGCGATGGCAAAGGTATTTCAAGGGCAATAGGTACAGCGACGATGTGCACGCTGTACGAGTAAAAAAGCTGGCGAACAATATGTTATGGTGGGGATCAAGGAATAGATTGTTCGCAAGGAGGGAAGAGAGACGCTCTTCGCACTCCTTAGGTATTTGTCTATCTACGGAAGGGTACACCCGCAACTTCGCTAAGCGAACCCTTATTCACTAAATCAAAAACTGTCACACAATCACCCTCAGCCCCCACACACAACCGCAACACTCTGATTCATCACATCCCTCCTAATCCAAAAAAGCCCTAACCATCATCCTCGTCGCAGCCTGCGTAACCTCCTCAGTTCCGTTTCCAGAATTCCCACCGAGGTTACTCTGATCCTCCAGCTGGGGATAAAAGAACGCCGCCACTGCAATGATAACATACGCCGCACAAAGCAGCGCACCTTCCAGATAATTACTCCGTCCATCCAGGACGAGGAAATTAACAATGAATGCCGAGACGAACAGGGAGACCGTTTCAAAGAGGGTGAAGTAGAGGGACATCTCTTTACCCATGGCCCAACCGAGAAGAACGACGAAGGGAGTGACGAAGAGTGCTGGGATTTGTTAGTGGTAGATGATGGGAAGGAATGAGGGATAAATACCAATTTGAATGGATGATCCGACGGCTACACCGATTGCTAGATCCATCTTATTCTTAGTGGCGACTGTGACGGCTGTAACGTGCTCTGCAGCATTACCAACAATAGGCAAGATAATTAAACCAATGAACGTCTCACTGAGTCCAGTTTGACCCTCAACAACGGCATTGATACTATCAACCATAAACTCGGCACAGACAGCGACAAGACCAGTGGATATGAGAAGCAAGAAAACAGCGGTAGTGCGAGAGATATTTTCTTCTTCGACCTCAGCATCGTGATGGTCTGTGATGGTAGTGCTGTTGACATGAGGGTTTTGCATAGAAGTTGAAGCAGGGCGAGCCAGTGTAGCAGGTTGTTGGTTCAAACGGTCCGGAAGAGAGTTTGTACGGCGAATTCCCATCTTGACACGAGGAACAGGACCTCCAAGTGCTGGGGAAGTGGTAGTAGGAGGTGGTTGAGTAAAGACATTCTGGGAGAATGTCTTCGGGATTGCAGGTCGAAGGATACCAGGGAAAATACGAACCGGTTTGACATTTCCGGTCTGGCCATCAGTTTCGTTTATGACGGCAAAATCAACGCGGCGAGAGGCATCAAGTTCCCCATCAATCTTTTCGTTGGAAGGATCGACGATGACACCTTCCGCGATGGCTTGTTGGGCTTTCAAGGCTCTCTTACGTTCCTTTCGTTCCCGGTGTCTGCGTTCCCGTTCTTTTCTGATGGCTTTACGTTCTTTTCTGGAAAAGGCAATGCTACCGTGGGAACCGCGACGACCTCGCTCCTTTTCCTTGTTCTCATCATCGGCATCATCAGCAAAATCAATTGCACCAAATCTATGCCCAGAGGCTTGTGGTTCGTCGTTAAGATCAGTTTGGACATGAGTAATAGAGTTGGTGCCAATGGAAGCAGTTCTAGAACGTGCAAGCACTTCTGGTTCTTTCGAGCCAGCACTAGATTTGCGTCTGCGTCCACCTTTGAAAGCTCTCTTGATTCGTTTTGCGGTGGTGTTGGAACCCTTTGATGCATCTGAATCAGAGCTTGAAGAGTCGGAAGAAGAATCGGATGAGCTGTCGAGCCATTGAGCCGCTGGTCCGGGAGCGGACTCTTCGTCAATAATGTGTTGAGGTGTACTCTGGTACATGTATGCATGGGACTTGAGTTGAAAGAGTAAATACAATACATAGACGAGCAAAAGTACCTAAACTGTAAGCAATGATTTGTCAAGATTTCAGGCTCACTTACCACACTAGTACCTCGGCTGACTTTCAAAACAGCGGACTGAGCTTTTGCTTGTTGGCGATCACTGAAAGAAGCATGGAAGGCAGTCTAAGAGTCGTTAGTAGTAGTTGAGGACGTCAATTATCCAATACATACTGGCAAAAGTAAACTCATGACGCTCAAACTCAACAAACATGCGCTCATTTGTGTAACGGTGCTGTTGTAGATCTAGAATCATCAGCCGAGTGTACCACGACACATTGAGAAAAGACCCAACAGACCTGTTCTTGGAACCGAAGTCCACCAAGTAAGAAAGCCATGCCTAGAATCAAGAGTAAATTGGCAAGGATTGAACCAAGCAAAGAAGCTTGTACGATACGAATTTCACCCTAAGAAAATTAGCCAAGTCTCAACACACTTTCAAAAAACATACCTTGGACAAGGCAATGCTGTTTGCGTTAAAATGACAAGGTGAGCATGGGTCTTTTTTCAAAAATATCACATCGAGTTTGGGTCAAACAAAAGAAAATGGGACGATGATATGGGACGCGATTGATAAGATAATGCCTTTAAGAGGGCTTCTCGCTCTTTCTTGTCTTGATCTCTCTCGAGGTAGACATACATGCTGTGGTTGTTAGCCGGGGTTTTGAGGATGGGATGCAGCAAGAACATACAAAATAATCAATTCAACGGCATTTCCAAATGATACATTCATGAGAGCACCAAGTGTATCCCCCATCCTCTTGGCCACACTTTCTGTGGCATGACTGAGAAGACCTGCCAAAGGTATGATCGCAATTGCGTTCATGGCAAATACGATTCCCGGTTTCAGGTGAGCACACTGTGCTGCAATACCCACGGGTACGAACAACAATAATAAGTTTATGTAACTAGACATTATAATGGATTTAGCCGTCAGCCAAAATCGGATAGCAACATTCTTCTTGGGTGGTTGTTCGGCTATGATAGTCCCCGCCCCATCAACTTGCGGAGGTGGAGCTGGGGGAGGGTGATTGGATGTGGTATCGTCGACGACATTGTTGGATGTGGTTTTTGATTGCCCGTTGAGGGAGTTTGTGGAAGGGAAAGGCTCAGTTGAACCATTTTGAGAGGTGGATTTATTCTTTTGGGGGTTCTCTAGAGGAAGACTCGAAGAGCGACTCGTGCCTAGGGCGAGTGGAGAGGGGCCATGCGCTTTGGTTCGTGCCCAAGAGCGAATGCGATCTAAAGATGAATCAGAGTTAGGTGAAGTTTTCTTCATCGATGTGGACTGTCAAAACGCAGAGGAACGAAGGTTCCGTGGTGAAATGTTTTGATATTGGTACGAGCGGTGAAGGGAGCGAGAGAGGGCAGAAGGAGAACAAGTAAATCGTGGGGGTCCGGGAGATGCTGGGGGGGAAGGAAAGCGGGAGAGGCGGTAGAAGTACTCGGTTCGAGAGTCAGGATGTGGTGGATGGTCTAACTGGATCCAGATAAGACGCGAGTGGGCTCTGACCGTGTCAACGCCACAAAAAGGGTGGTGAGAGAGGGGAGACGATGAGAAGATGATGCCAGGCTGCTGCAAGCCAAGATGTTCTCTTTGAGGGTGGAAAGGTGGAAGGCCGAATCACATCAGATGGTTCGCCTTATGCTTCACTGGTGCCGACGACGACGGTGACGGTCGAATCATACTGGCGGGGTCCACGGGCAACGGACCGCCAGGATCTCTGACTGCGCATCGTGGAGATTGGGATTGCGATGCATCGCCACTGGCCAGGCACGTCGACTTCCACTTGGATGGACCAACTCATAACAAAGGGATCCAAGTCGACGTGACGACGTTTATTCGACCATGATTGCCAGTCCAGTTCCGCTGTGGCGATAGTCCCCTCATTTTGACTTTGATATCCAGCTCCAACCGGTATGGTCTGGTGGATTGGATTTGATACTGACTTCCAAGCCAGGCCAAGTATGGCAGGGCGGAAACAAGCAACGAGAACAAGAAGGGATGGGATGGGCCAAACTTACGCATACTGTGCCAACGGGTCTTGGTTTAGTCGATCCGAAGCTTCTTTCACGAAGCCGTTGCTTGATTCCTCTTCTCACTCGGCCGATTTCGAAATCAACGACGAAATTGGCTGATACGCTATGCTTCGTACCATAATGCAAGAAAGGTCCGGCCTGTCTCTGGTGAATAGAGGCAGGAGAGATGCTGGTGATGGACTGGTGTTTATGTTTGGAGGCGGTGCACCCAATGACGTTTTTGTGTGGCTGTGGCGGATGGAGATGGTGGACGAGCGAGGCGAGGGACGAAGTGGAAGGCACGCGACTCAGATCCAAAGATAGGTAGTGGGAAGTTCCTCCAACAAAAACACAACACAACTCAGAAAGACTCAAAACAAAAATAATGATTTGCAGATGAAGGAATTAAATCCGTCTCTCCTTTTTACAAAAGTACTTTCAAGTGGAAAACCTGATTACCGAGGCTTGGCAATGATATATGATGGCACGCAGCACAGCACGCTGGAGATTGAACAGTTGTTTCTTTTGTTCCATGGCCGGGGCCGGGAGGGAGTGGAGATGTGGAGATCCCAAACTGGGTGGCCAGACCGGTAGCTTTCAAGACCCGTGAACTCAGGGGTATCAGTAATAGCAGTAGAAAACAGAATGAACCCGAAAACTCATGATTCTCCCCAGTTCTAACAACAAAAAAACACACCAAGGGAAGCATCCAGAAACTCCCAGAAACACCACCAATTCTTACCTTTCAGTTTCTTCCTGACAAATAGTAATATCCACGAAGTCCCAACTCAAACCTCCATCCCCAGAGATGCAGCAACTCACGATGCATCCATCAATCAAAATACCATGCCATGCCGAAAACCCGGCAAAACTCCGTCCAACGACCGGATGAAGACACCCGTCACAGGAAAGTATGCTACGTACGGTACGGTACAGCTACGTACCCATACACAGGCCATTAAAACGAAACACTCGTCATCGCAACCAAAGAAACACGTACTTGTCCTGACAACAACGGATGTTGGTTCGTTAGCTATTTGTGTGTTTGAATAAGTCCTGATCAATACCTAGGTATCACGGTGTCGTTAAGTGGCTGGTATTGTAAGATACTGTTGTGTAAATCTTGAGGTGCAAGGAGGTAGGGTAGGGCTGAAGACTGGCTCGTTAATATAAAGCTGGGGTGGTACCAGTAAGACAAGCACGAAGTGAGTCAAGAAATGAAAAGATCATTCCCTGGTTACAGACTATGTCCAAATAATTCCGAGACTCTGTGAAGATGGAGTACGGAAATGACACCAAATAAAGAGCACCCGCTTTTCAAATCCCCTCCAATCCCACCAAAACGCAACCACAGGAAGTTAATACAACAGAGAAGGATCAATTACAACTTATTCTCATCCATATACTTCCATCGAATCTCCACTGCCCTCCTGTGAGCCTCCAACTCCTCCACCTTAGCAAGCTGCATCACCGCACCACCCACATTCCGCAATCCCTCCGACGTGAGTTGTGAAGAAGTGATATGCTTGAGATAAGAGCCTAGATTGACACCCGAGTATTGTTTGGCAAATCCGTACGTTGCTTCGAGACGTTAGCATATAATATTTCAGAATGGATAGAACAGGAGGGGTAAAAAAGAACTTACGCAAAGAGTGATTGACACCCGCCGAATAGTCACCAACACTTTCAGGAGTCCACTCGCCAATAAATACACTGCCTGCATTCTCAACGAGGTCCACAACTTTAGCCGCGTCCTTCAATTGCAGAATCAAGTGTTCCGGTGCGTAATCATTGCTGAGTTTCATAGCTTCTTCGAGATCCTTCACCACAAGAGTGACCGAGTGCTCAATTGCACCACGGACGATATCAACTCTAGGTAAAGCCATTGCTTGTTTGTGCAACTCATCCTCGATAGCTGTGAGCTCCTTTTCAGAAAGATCAATTGCAATCAGAATAACTTGACTATCAACCCCATGCTCCGCCTGCGACAAGAGGTCAGATGCAACGAAGGCTGGATTTGATTCCTTGTCCGCAATAACCAGTACTTCCGATGGTCCTGCTGGCATGTCTATACTTACTCCGGCATTTGTATCGTTACTGACATACATCTTGGCTGCCGTAACAAACTGATTACCAGGTCCTAAGATCTTGTCAACTTTACTAACGCTTTCTGTCCCGTATGCCATGGCAGCAACTGCTTGAGCACCACCAGCCAGAACGATGGATTCCGCACCAACTTTGTGGGCAACGTAGACAATTTCCGGTGTGATGCTACCATCCGCACGTGGAGGTGAAGCAAGAACAATCTTTTTGCATCCTGCAACCATAGCTGGTACACCAAGCATGAGTGCCGTGCTTGGAAGGACCGCAGTTCCACCTGGAACATACAGTCCCACACGTTCAATTGGACGCGAGAACCGACTGCAAATGACTCCTGGCATTGTTTCGACTTGAAGTGGTTGATCTTTTTGTGCTGTGTGAAATTTATGAATGTTCTCAAAGGAAGTATCGATAGCTTGGATTGTTTCCGGAGAAATGTTCATCAGTTCTTGTGGAAATGGTGCTTTCAGCACAGGAGATGTGAGCGAAGTTGCCTTTTCAAACTTGTGTGTAAAGCCTAATAGTGCTTTATCGCCTCCTTCCCGTACACTCTTGATGATGGGGTTGACAATTCCCATGATCATATCTGTAGATTTTTGTGATGGTCGCTTTAATACTGCTTGAAGGTCCTCTGCTGACGATGTTTTAGCATCATAACGCTTCATAGTGATGCGACCCTCATTCTTCACTTCAATCGCCTTTGGTGTTGACTCTGATTTCTTCTCCTCCTGTACATCATTAGAGATCCCCTCTTTGGCAGCCCATTTTCCTTTTGCGTCGCCCTGTCTTCTCTTGACCTTCACACTCTTGGCATCAAGGCTTCGCTCAATGTCGCCAAGACTGACACCAGCACTCACTGCTTTCGCCAACGCAAAATATATCAAATCGGCAGCTTCAAATGCGATATCGCTCTTTGTGTTCGCTTCACACAATTCTTCCGCCTCTTCCATAATCTTTGCGCGCAGCAGCTTCTCATCTGAAAATAACCGGGCCGTGTATGATCCTTCAGGTGCAGATTCTTTTCTTGAAACCAGGGTTTTCTCCAGTTTTGCGATGCCACGAAGTTCACCAAAGCAGGTAGATTGAGGGAGGTGGCAGAAGCCTACACAATGTTAGAAAAGGGGGTTAAGAACGAAGGCGGTCGTTTTTACTTGCCTCTTCCTTTCTGGCGAACAACAAATTTCAAGCAGTCTTGATCGCAGTCCAAAGAAATCCTCACAAGTTCCTGAATATCTCCAGATGTAGCACCTTTATACCACAACCCTCTTTTCCTGCTCTGATAAACTCCAGTGCCTGTCTTGAGACTCTCTGCCAGACTTTCTTCACTGCTGTATACCAGCCCAAGCGCAACTCCACTCTCATCTGTTACTACGGTTGGCATCAATTTATCCGGTCTATCCGAAAACCATAATTCCGCGATAAGTCCTGGCACAGAGACAAATCCGTCTGAGTGTTCCCCGAATGCGAGACACGTGGTGGGTAGAATCGGAATGGAAGATGACCCTGCTGCCATTTGAAGGAAGGGTTGGAGATCAATGTGATCCATTTTCGAAGAGTGTGTAAGAAATACTGGAGAAGTCTTGCCCGCAGTTATCTTTTCCAACAATTTGCGACCAGTAGACAAACTCTCGCCAGTGTCAAGAAGAACACCGTCTTGAGATGAAGTGACAGAGGCTATTTCATCGTCGTTCGACACGACAGGTATGATTCTGTCTCCATAGCTCTTCAAAGACTCCCATTGAGAAGGGGTTGCAAACACTTTGCGGGCCCCAGCATCCAAAGCCGTGATGACATCCTCAATCGAGGATATTTTGGCGACATTGACGTAGGCTTCTACGGATGTGTGTCTCTGGAGAAATTGTAGTAGAGTTTCGAAGTTACTTTCGCTAGCGGTGAAATAAACACAGCCAAGGTAGGACAATTGGATTCTGGTCAATCCCTTCTCAGGCTCAGCAGCGCCTTTTTCAAGATCCACGAGGGGAAGAAAGGGAATCGGCAGGGTCGTTTCCATGTTGGGTGATTGGAGATGGTTCAGAGAGAAAAGTCAAGAAAATTTGACTCCATGCCGCAGTGATTGTATGCAAGTTTTTGGGCAAATGGCGGGATGACGCGGGGCAGATCCGATATCAACTCCGAGGTGAAGACAACCCTGTCAATATAGAAATACCGACGTTGAGCCGAACCAGGGGAGGCCGCCACGCTATTTTGTGAAGTGCAGGTGCAGGTGCAGGTGCAGGAGATCCTCAGAGACGCGCCCGTGAAGTTGACACAATAATCTTTGCGCCAACGCACACCTTTGTCAGCTGATCCGATCCCACAACAAGCGATACATAACAGACCGACCTTGAATGCTCTTAGAGCTTCATAGGCATATTCTCAGAGAACTACTGCGAAAGCACATCCACCAGGGACTTCAAGATGGCGGAAGTCAATGGTGAGGGCGCCTCTCAAGCAAATGGACATGCCTCTCCACCATCTCAATCAACATCGGCCACAGTAGCAGCTGCATCGCAATCCCAATCGCAATCCCAACCAGCTGCAGCTTCTGCTCCAGCGCATAATCCTAATGTTCCTATGACCTCAACTCAAGACAATGGTCAGAGTAAACGCCCTCGAGACGCTCGCCTTATCCATGTCCTCCTCTCCTCCCTCGGTGTCACAGCATACCAAGAAAGAGTTCCATTACAAATTCTTGATTTCGCATACCGTCACGCCTCAGGAGTTCTCTCTGATGCCCTCCATCTCTCCTCCGATGCCTATATCTCGCAACAGACTCGTGCAAAGGATGCCCCACCAGGCGGACTAAGAGACTCGGATGGCCAGGTCAGCGCAAACGCCGTCCAATTTGCTATTGCAAGTCGATTACAATACCAATTTGGAGGAGGTGGTGGAGGTGGAGGAGCTGGCGGTGGTGGATTAAGCAAGGAGTTTTTATTGGAAACAGCGCAAAAAAGAAATGCAATCAAGTTGCCTAAAGTCCTTCAGCATGAATGGGGTGTACGATTGCCAAGCGAGAGATTTGTGATGTCCGGTGTACCTTGGGGACTCAGAGGCGAATGGGTTGCTACGGAAGAGGAATCCAAAGACACAACCATGGACACAGCGATGGGTGGCGTGAATCAACCAGAGGAACAAGGAGTTGAGGCTGGAGAGGAAGGTGAGGGAAACATGGAAGACATTTTTGGAGTTGAGGGAGCAGGCGATGAAGACGAAGACATGGAAAAGGAAGACTGATTGTACAATATGGGGGAATATACGGCGTTGGATATGGGGCGTTCTGGCGCCCAATAGGCACCCAAGGATGGGAACGTCATACAGAGCGATATTTTTCAGCCCAAGGCTGATGCCAACATAAATGAGAACAATGTTCTGGGCATACATCTTCTGGCCAAGGTATTTGCACCGTTTCCTTGTCTATATACTTGCTTGAAACGGGTGATTTGCCAAGGGTGGTCGAGTAGTCGTCGAAACATCGTACGAGTTGGAGCGGCATGTTGGGAGACGATTTCATTCTTACACTCAATTTGCTTCTGAGAGTTCGTTAAATTGCCAACGCAACTCTCCTCAAGCAAAAGTTGGTGCAACGATATGGGTTGAGTTTGGGGGAAGAGAGGTGGAAGGAGGGCAGAGGGAGTGACGAGGGTGTTATTAAAGGCATGAACTCATGTCATCCCAAAATGCTTCCGATTACTTTATGTAGTTAAGGAAGAATGGGCTGGCAAGTGCCATTCAAATTCTCCTTTTTCAGCATGATCGTTCTGTTTGTCCTGTGTGGCTTGAAATCCCGAGTCGCTCGAGTCGTTCTTCAATCAAGTCTCGACTTCTATTTCAGTGTCTGAGAAGAGCAGAAAGGAGGTGGAAACACGTACGTTGTCATTTGTTTACTCTAGCTTTGCTTTTTTGCTTTCACTTTCTTGGGTATTCTGATTAAGCGTTTTAAGGGGTCGTCGCTTGACTCGTGGTTATCTGCGATACTGCTCAGGGGACTAGTTGAGACTTGTGGCAGAAAGCTGTCTTCGAGCTTTGTCAGCGAGTAAAGATCACAGTCATGACTCATAGACGTTGACATCGCTAAGACAGTTGGCTCAAGCAATCCCGCTTAAAGGTTAGGGGAATTTCAACTTGGATATCTTGAGTCTCCCAGTCTTCTTGAGGAATAGTTTCCATTGGTCAAATTTTATATTAGTGAGGCGTAGAGGTTGTTTGTATACGGAATGAGTCCTATTATGATGATTGTGAAGAGGACGGAGGGGAGGGATCTGTGAATGTGTTTTTCACATGTTGAAGCCTTGGTTCCGCTAGCAAGAGATGCCTTCATTACTCTGAGTAGACCCAAGTCACAAAATATAATCCTAAAGCTCCCCCTTGAGTAAATTCTTTATGCGGATGCTTTGGGATAATAGAAGCCTTCCACCCAAGGACTCTGGCAAAATTAACTTCGTCGTGCCAGACTTCTGGTGGATCGGCTTCTGAAGGGGCGTGGGAGCCAAATGACCAGGTCGCTTATACTATCATGTGCCCCTGACTTGGTTGTGTGTTGTGGTATTTTGATAGAACATGGGGGATACGGTTCAATAGCACTTCCGTGAACTATCACTGCCTTGACCAAAGGACCAAGCCACATTATACTACCAAGAAGCCATGATGATATATAGTACAAGGAAGGGACGCTGTCACTTGACAATATATTCTTAATACGATAAACGTATGGATGAACTCGAATGGACTGTCAGCATGGACATACTTCACTCTCATAGTTACTGTTGTTACTGGTTGTACCATTTCATTATGACTACTCGAGAATCCTGTACATTATTGAGTTTCCGCTGTCATACTGTCATAATTCGTAACCTTTCATCGTGATTGTTCTTGTCCATCATGGAAACAATCCAAAGCCATATCGTGATTCGTCTCATCGTATCGTCATCCAGTGATATCGTCATCCAGTGATATCGTCATATCGTCATATCGTCATATCGTCATTCAGTTCCATAGTCATACAGTTATATCATCCTCCCCTCCGTCCAATCGTGTGGTGAACCAGATGTATCATAACCGACCCAATCATATCCGTCGTTCAAGTGTATTGCTTCCATCTCACTCCAAACGGCGCTTCTTCTTTGGTGGCTTGCTTGGGCTGTCGGCAAGAAGGGCATCCTCAGCTTCACGATCGAACTCCTCCTTCTCAATTTCCTTCTCAACCTTGTCGGCGTCGGCGTCGGCTGTGTGTTCATGTCGGTTGACGTATTGATAGAAGACATGGTTTGAGCGCAATGGGTTGGCGGTGGTCAAGTTATACATTCCTACCGGCTGACGAGCCTCCTGAATTAGGCTGAGGATGTGAGCGGCATTTTCTCGAGGTCTAGGGAGGGCGCCTGGTGTCATATGGACGGGAACCCGAACAGAGGAACCTTGAGCTTCAGCCATGGTAGTAGATTGGGCTGAGGCCGGTGAGACGCGATAAGATGCTGGGGATACTGGAGGTACTGGGGATACGATGAAGGCTTGCGAGCTGTTGATTCGGCCAGAGTAGTCTCGTTCGGCCTTCTGGAGGGCTGCTTCTGCGCTGCCTTCAGGGAATACACGTTGTTTGATTGCCTTTTGTCGGCTCGCAGCGGAGTTGAGGGGTGCAATATCTGAGTTTGGGGGAGCCTGTATCAAGCGTGTCAGCGCATCTCATTTCTATTTTCTGTGGTGAATGGTTGCGAAAATGAACTTACCGGCTCGAAAATATCAGCAATAACCTTGTCAAAGTCCTGTACTTGCTGTTCCTTCATCTCCTCAAGATCCTTCAAAGCCTTCTCCTCATTGCGCTTGATTCTAGCTTGATCCGACCTCGTGATCACCTTGATCCGGTCTTGAGAAGCACCAAGCTGCACCAGACAAATGTTCTTCATCTCCTCCAGCATATTTTCAGTGATATATTGATGAAGACCACTTGGGCCAACACCATCGACAGCTATCGGATCTGAAGCCATTGCGGGATCCTGATTGGGAGCCGCAACACTGCGCGCAATGGCATTGGCGGTTGCTTGCTCTCCAACCTGGAACGTGACTCTGATGAGGTCGTCACGTAATTGCGTCTCCAAATGGCCCTCCCATTTGGCCATTTCCCCGTCGACCTTCTCGCGGAATGTACGGTTGGCGGCTTGCGTGTTGTTGATGAGACGGCGCAATGCGTCGTCTGCGCCTGGGGCGCCCTTCTCTACTGCTGCTCTCATCTCCTCTTCTGCACGGGAACGTATCTCCATGGGGGAGGACATTGTGGTGGTGGTGGTTGGTTGCTTGGGACAGAGTCGTGGGAAAGGTGACAATGATGGAGTGATATTGCTAGATCGGGCTTCTAAGCGAGGATTGTTCGGATGATGGGGGTTGTTGATTCACTCACCCTTGACGCTGATTAACGAAAGTCGTAGATGTTCTTGTAAGTCTATTTCTTTAGATAAATTATTTCGAAAAGCTAAGACTATATAAACAAATTCAAATACTTACGCAGATAATTCTAATTAGACATATTTCATGTAATTTGTAGGTGCCTCTACTATCTACTACTATCCACTGCTTTCTTGAACTTAGGTTACACGAACTCCTTCATGAACACGTTGCGAAAATCTCTAATTTCTTTACTGTCCATTATAAAAGAACAGGAACTCGAGAGCCTTGCCCGGAGCGGAACCATAGGCGAGGAGGCCAAGAGGATATTTTTCTTGTTATTTACATTAACGCCATCTTTCAACGATGTTTCTCCAGAAACACGCATCCGGGTATATCCAAGGGGTGCTTACAATATCGAGGCACACATTAAATTTGCTTAAATAATAAATCGAATATATTTCCTATAACGTACTTCATAAGGAGTCCGGATTTATAAGGAGTCCGGATTTTTTACCCCACCATTGACCACCCTACACACTTTCAATCTACATAACTTACCCAATTATTGTTCAAATGTCTCGAAAAGAAGGTCAAATTGCTCTTGCAATCAGTGCATACAATAAGGGTCAATTTACAAGCTTAAAAGCAGCTTGTGCAAGGTACGATGCGCCATATTCTACTACTTACGACCGCGTCAAGGGAGCTATTCCACAACGCGATTTCCGACCCCGAAACCAGAAACTCACCGACCTCGAGGAATCAGCACTTATACAATGGATGTTATCAATGGAAGCTAGAGGTCTGCCAGTATGGAAAGATTCGATACGCCAAATGGCCGATTTACTACTGGAAAAGCGAACTGGAGTAGGTCGAATTATTGTCGGAAAATTCTGGGTTGCCAACTTTATAAAGCGCCACGACTCTTTACGGACGAAATACACTCGTAAATACGACTATAAGCGCGCAAATGCGAGGATCCTACGATTATCCGAGATTGGTTTCGATTAGTACATAATATTGTTGCGAAATATGGTATACTAGCGGAGGATATATACAATTTCGACGAGACTGGCTTTCAGATGGGAGTAATTGCGACCGCAAAAGTTGTTACAGGGTCAGAATATACAGGACGGGCTATTCATATACAACCAGGGAATCGCGAATGGGTTACAGTTGTCGAATCAATTTGTGCAGATGGATGGGTGTTGCCTCCAATGGTTATATTTGAGGGCAAGGTGCATATATCGACTTGGTATACAGATCAATTACCAGCAGATTGGACAATTGCACTTAGTGATAAAGGGTGGACCAATGATTCCTTAGGTCTTAAGTGGCTTTCAGACGTATTTGAGAAATATACCAAGGACCGTGTAAAAGGAGTATATCGACTTTTAATCCTCGATGGCCATGGTAGTCATTCTACTCCCGAATTCGATCTTTTCTGTTCAGAACATAACATCATAACGCTTTGTATGCCACCGCACTCATCTCATCTTTTACAGCCATTAGATGTTAGTTGCTTTGCAGTTTTAAAGCGACTTTATGGACGAGGAGTCGAGGAGCTAGTACGAGCCGGCACATATCATATCGATAAACCAGACTTCCTTTCAATATATCGTGTAGCCCGTACAAGTACTATGGTCAAAAACACAATCTGTAATGGATTCGCAACTACTGGCCTTGTCCCGTACAACCCAGATCAAGTATTGAGTAAATTACATACTCAATTACATACGCCTACTCCTCCTTTACTTTCTCCAAACCTACTACCTTGGGTCCCTGAGACACCCCATAATACATATGAGGCAGATCAGCAAACCCAGACAATTAAAGCATCTATTAAACGACGTACAAACGTTTTCTCAAGCCCTACTGCTATTGCATTAGATCAATTGGTTAAATGGTGTATGATGGCTATGCAATCAGCTACGGTTTTGGCAGAGGAAAATCGACGTTTACGAGCTGAATCTGAACGTCAAAAGAAGAAGAAGACTGTGCGACGTCAATATATTGCTACTGGGGGTGTTCTTACAGGTCAGGAAGGGAGGGAACTTATTCAAAATAGTGATAATATGGTTTTGGATGAAGCTGTGGCCCCGCTAATTGAACCACGAATTCGTGCACCACGAACCTGTAGTACATGTAGATCACTAGCGCATACTGCTCCTAGGTGCGCAGATCGAGAATAAGAAAGATAGTATAGTTTATATAAACAAATATTAAGTGGTTAAAGTTCTATGGTTTTTAAAAGTTGGATGGTGGGGTAAAAAATCCGGACTGCTTATAAATCCGGACTCCTTATGAAGTACGTTACGCCTCTAGAAATGAAAACTAATAGTTTACGTAGTCATTTGTCTTGATCGTAATAGTAGATTACGGAAGGAAAATATTACGAGCCCCTTAGGGACACGAATGAAGATATAGTCTCGACTGTTAGTGTTTAGTATTTCCTGGTTAGAGGTTTAGCGGGTTTAACATGGACAGCCCGCCGTAGACCTATGGCTGATCAACGAGAGAAAGGCTCTCAAGACAACCCATCGTTTTCCATCGAAAGAAGTTTTCGGGGGAATCCTCCCTCAAAGCTAGTCTAGCAGGGATGGAATTCTCAGGTCTCTGATATAAAACCTATTTGATCCAGGTTTCCAACATCCTGAATAACGAAAGTGTGGCTAAGATTACATGCAAATTACATGCAAATTACATGGGATCGCTTTAGGGCGCGTAGCTTCTAATTCTGTCGGATGTGTGTTTAGTGAAGCAGACGAAGTACTCCGAGCTTTTGGGCAAATCGAAGGCTAGCGAATATTAATACGCGAATGCAATAGTAGAGTTTATTGTGAATCGGTCTGCGTAAGGTCCTGCCGTCGAAGGTTTTTGTAGTATCGAAAAATAGTTGAAATTCACGATAATTATCTACGGAAATCAATATAGAGCGAATCCTATAAGATGGAAGGTTGAAATCTCATAGTTTTCTCTTTTTGAGTCTCCCATTCTTTCTGGCTTCACACATCCAAGCCCCCTTTTAAACAAAACTCTACTTGAATCGGACTCCAGTGAGCAATCAATAATTTACGAGGAACTTTGAAGCAGAATAAAAATATGCCATGATAGCTTAGGTGACACAAATCTCGGCATCTGTTATATTCGAATACATTTATGATTGAAAATGGGCTCCACTACCCTTAAGTGAATAGACAGGAGCTGGGACCGGATTTGGCACCTGTACACACCCAACATAGAACAGACTTGAAACCGAACTGTTCTACTTACATTCCATTGCTCAACACTCGTTGGGTATGCCAAGCTGAGTCATTTATCCCGGTTATGCTGACATGATATTGTCCTACAATGATCTTTATAATTAACTAGTCTCTTTCTGTTGTGCTGGGTCTACTTTCTCTTTTGCTCCACTTCCTTATTTGATCCACTTATAGCTCTGCTGCCTAAATGCTTCATGTCTGCCTAAA